AAGGCAGCAACCGCACCAAGTGCGTCAGACTTACACAGAGAGAGAGAGAGATGCCTCGAGCAGTAAGGCAGCAACCGCACCAAGTGCGTCAGACTTACACACACAGAGAGAGAGAGAGAGAGAGAGATGCCTCGAGCAGTAAGGCAGAAGAATCCATGCTTGGGAAAATTTGCTCCCCATAGTCCGACATGTTCATTTCAATTTCTCGCATGCCAAAAAAAAACAAAAACAAAAACAAAAACAAAAACAAAAACGCTCCTTGTATGCCACGTACCGTGACGTACGTGTTTTCTTGTACAAGGCTACTGCTAGGCTGCTAGCTAACAATTATGTTATGTGCTACTTGGCTTTTTCCATTCACTTGGTGAAATGAAAGGAATGACTTGTTACCAACCGGGCCGCTCAGGGGCAATTTCGTTGCCCGGGCGGTCGGGCCGGGCAAGGGCCAGTGAACGTCCCTGTAATAAAAATTAAAAATATATAAAAATATATAAAAAAAAGGAACAAAAAAAGCTATGCTGTGCAGAAACTTAGACTGGACAACTTTTGCCTCAGGGTCGAATCAAAATTCTATACCAAATTACAAATAAATTTAAAATTTTAAAAACATTTATATTTATTTTTACTGGCCCGGCCGTGGAAGTGGTCCCGATACACTATGTTAACAAAGATATTGTTAAAAAAAGAAAGACGGCTCCGTGCATGTCAGGAGACGAGTGAGTGCTCGTGCTAATCTTCGAAGTGAAGAGGAGAGCACTTACACTTACTCTAGTACTCCAGGACTCCGTTCGTTTCTTTAATAATTTAATTGTATTTAGTCACTCTTTCATGGCCAGCTTAGCTTTTTTTGTTTGTTCACAAAAAAAAGCCATTTTTTTGTCTTTGTTTTTAAATGGAATTGCTATGGACATCGCCCCTTTCCCTTGCTGATTCAGTCTACCCTTTCTTTTTTCTTTTTCTTTTTTTTTTTTCGTTCTCTAATTCGGTACTTTACCCTTCATTATACACTTTGTTCCAGCTCTTTCGTTTTTTTGGAGGGTGGTCTCAATAGGGAGAGCACAGTTCTTTTTATCATGGTCCATTCATAAAAACAAAAAAACAAAAACGAAACCAGTTGAAAAAATGATAATAACTAAAATAAAATAAAATAAAAGAAACCAAAGGGACCAAAGTGGTGGAGCAGTAATTTCTAACAGAGGGGGATGTAAGAAGCGCATATCAGACACAGAGCTGTCTCTTATACACATCTAGATGTGTATAAGAGACAGTCCTCCTCCTCCTCCTCCTCCTCCTCCTCCTCCTTCTGCTGCTCGCGCCTTTTCCGTCTCCACATTGTTCTTTTCCTTGTCCATTCCAGCAATCGGCTGGCCGTAAACGACGACACCACTTAGTGTGCCACGTGGCCGAGCCTCCAACGACCTACCATCGGCAACGGCGGCGACGTTGTGGGTGACATCAGCGACCATATCTCGCGACTCGACGGATCGAGGCTCCTCCAGCGCCAGACTTGAGAGCTTTAACCGTGACCGAGGGCTTTCTACAATAGACTGTTGTCTCTCCTCCTCCTCCTCCTCCTCCTTCTCCTTCTTCTCCTCTGCTCCTCCCTCCTCATCTTCAATCCACGACTTTATACATTCTTGCAAACCTCTCTTGCTTCCAACCATTGACCCCCTAGCCCCTCCAGCACCATCGCCTCCTCTAACAGGAGTAACATCTCCACCTCCCACTCCTCCTCCTCCTCCTCCTCCTCCGCCTCCTCCCCCTCCCCCAACCCCTCTTATCTGGGAAGCGCACTGTGTCAGACTCCAGGATCGATGAACGTTCCTCGACTCTACCGGCATGTGTTGAAAATGAGACCTCTCGTTACGTGGCGTGCCTACCACGATTCCCACACCTTCTCCCTCCTCTTCCTCCTCTTCCTCCTCCTCCTCATCTTCGTCTTCCTCTTCTTCTTCTTCGACGTCCTCGTCGTCATCTTCCTCCACTTCATCGTTCTCTCCTCCTCCTCCTCCTCCTCCTCCTCCTCCTCCT